ATATATATATATATATATATATATTCACTTGTTATCATGTTTTATCATATTTAAAAGGAAACACACTTCTCTCTTAAATAACTATTTTTAAACTTGTTAAGAATTGTTGCATAAATTCATTAAAAAAAATTGCTAAAAATGGATTATATACTATCTATCTGTATATAATTTAAATTTTATATAGAAAATAGTTTATTTATAAATAGTATTTTCTTTTTGATGTATGCATAGGTGAAAATTATTTTAAAAAACACGTACTATTTATTTTGATTAGATATAGGGTTTCCATTTACCAAGGAAGGGTTACACACAGAACCTGTGGAGTTGCATGCATGAGCTGCAGTCTCAAATCTCCCACCACCACACTTTTAATGATCAGAATCTTGAATATGAATAGCAATATTTGAAGTTTATATCAGCTTTTGTCTGTGCCCACACTTCAAGTTTCTTTCTTCCTTTGATTTGATAACAAGGTTCATCATTGGATGGAATGATGAATTGAGAGTTTTAGTTGATTGACTTAAGCTACCGACATTAAACAATAATATAACAAATTATGAATCGTTTTAGCAAAGAATTAAAAGTTGATGAGCTTGGCGTTTGTTGTTGTTCTCTATTCAATAACATATTCGGTATTTGGTGACGTTGCTTTTATAATTATATATTATTCCATATTTACATTAAAAAAAATATTTTTTTGTCCTGGCATCTCAAAATTACATCATTAATATAGATATTATCTATCACCCTCTGTGAGTGTGGAACTAATTTCGCTTAATTTTATTATTATTATCAGGAAAATGTGAGTAGTAAAATACTTTCTGTCAAATATTTTCTACAAAAAAGGAAGAGAAACATAAAAAAAATACAATAAGACAGGAAATATGACAAAAACACTCGAATAGAGTTTTGATGTTTACAATGGTTTTTTACTCGAGTAAGATTATCTCTTATAAATAAAACTTGTCATTTTATACCAAAAATATGACTTATCCCCGCAATCTATTTCAGTAGTTATAATTCTGACTTTTGTAATTAAATTTCTTTCATAAAAAGCAGTCATTTATAATTTATTGCTACTTTCAGTTTTCACAATGGTCTCACCAAACCAAGATTCATATCAACAATTTCTTGATAATGCGATAAGACCACGTATGTAGTATAATAATTTTGTCTCGTAAATTAATTAACAACCTTCATTTTTACTGTTATAAAAGTTAGTTTAATAGAAGTTATCTTCATAACTACTTTCACATGATTGTATCAATCACCTACTCAGTTTTATTTCTTCATAACTCAAAAAGAATGAATCCATCAATACTCTCTTGACCTTTCCTCTTGTCACTACATGAAAATTTACCAATACATCAGCTAAAAATTAACATTAACTAACAAAAGTATAAGTTGTGTCCGATACTTTTATTGTTGGAACTACACTAGCATTATACATGTGATGATTAATGCAATGAAACATCAGTTTTAACACTAAAGTAGAAGTTACGACTATTTTGAAAAAGAATTACTCTAAGAATCAAAATGTATGTTAATTACTCCAACTTTCCTTGAAATAACTTTTTTCTTTTTTTATAGGTAGGTATCATATATTAAATATTATGTTTTAAGTTGAACAAATTGTTTCTCCCATTAATTTCATTCATTTCTTTTGCTACATTAATTAGAATTTAGAATACAAGAGTATGTCATGGTAAAGAATAAAATATACATGCAAATTAAAACTGATCGACCCCTTTAACATATTGTGTTATTGTATAAGCGTGTAGAATGTATATATATGTCTTAAATATGAGTTGAGAGACAAGAATATTGATATACCAAAGTCGAAAGGACATGACTTCTTAAGTAGTACTGAGCATAGCTAAGGCTGGTTACTGGCAAATATGCTTTCTGGCAATATGAAAGTACTCTTACCAAAATTGTAGGACATAGCCATGCATGCAATCATCTGTGAAACTATTTAAAAAAAAAAAAAAAAAAAGTGGTAGCATCATATTTTTTTTTTATTATTTAAAATTAATTAAAAGTTACAACATCATGTTAAAAAAGAGTGTTTTAAATTATAAGAAAGTGAATTGAAACGTAGCTCAATTTTACACTATTGACGTATAAGATAAATATTTTTCTTTTATTTATATATAATTTATTAATTTTATTATTGATCAATATGAGATCTCTAACAATTATATTATTATCATTTTTTTTCTTTCAGAAATTAAAAACCAAATATCATGCATATATATCTAATGTAATTACTCTCTATTAGTGACTCCAAAAAGAAGAGGAGAAAGGGGCTCGACCAAAAACGACATGGACCATATAGGACACATGGAAATTTTCTAAAAATTAAATCTTGGTGACCATTTTGTGTAGGACAAAACACGAGCACTATCCCGCATAGTCTCTGTCAATAAAACCTTTCTTAGCTGAAGTTTATAGCTAGGTGGATATATATCCTCCCACTCCTGAGTGTAAGCTTTTAATGGTGACAATGAACACAGACAATGAGCATGTGACCATCAAATGCCAAAAAGCAGTGTGTCAGGAACATTTCTTTGCCAAACACATCTGAGTCCAGTATAAGTCACAGTTTTAGGTAATTTATTAAGAAATTCTATAGTATATACCAACCACGTAGCATTAAAAGCTTATTTTATATTTTAAGTTTGAACATTTTTGAGAATTTTTTTATTGAAAATAGTTTTTTATATATAAAAAATTCTTAAAAAAGTGTTTTTAAACTCGTAGCTTTTAATATAATAATTTATATTAAAAATTACTGTCGCGTCTAAAATAATTTTTAACTATCACATAGAAGAATATTCCTTCATATGAGCAAAGAAAAAAGTATAATGTAACTAATATAATTAAAAATATATAAAACATTTTTTTCACACGAATCAAATTAAAGTTTATGAAGTCAACCTTATAATAAAATTTTAATTGATTTATTTTAGAACTAATGTAATATATATTGTATGGGATAGGTCTCACATGTTGGTATTAAGAATTGATAGATAACCGTAGTAATGTCACCACGACTATATAACAACGATTCGGATTACCTATCAAATCAAACTATTTCTCAAGGCGAAGCAATCCCTTAACTTGGCGAGCACATTCCCATGCCGAGCAATATTGTAACATTCAATCGTTATGCAATTATAAACGGTCTTTAATGCATTTAAATGTCTTATTAACTATGGTAACATTTTATCTCCTATATATACACGTTTCACTATCAAATTATACGTTGATACTTGTGATTATATTTATACACTTCAATTACCCACTAATTTTGGCATCAAAATCCTTTTTGCATGTTAGCCATATCATTTTTATTTCGAAGAAAAGGTTGAGGACTTTGAAGGTTGGCCTAATACAAAGGAGGGATCTAGCCTTCCTCTACTTTATATATATATATATATATATATATAGAGAGAGAGAGAGAGAGAGACACTAATGCAAAAATTAGTTTTAAAATCAGAGTTTTAAGATCGGTTAAAAGGTAACCGATCTTAAAAGTCACGCAATGACAATTTTGTAAATAATGTGAACACTTTTAAGATCGGTTAAATTTTAACCGATCTTAAAAGTACTTTTAAGATCGGTTATTTTATGACCGATCTTAAAAGGTATGTCTGACACAACTTTTAAGATCGGTTACAAAAGAACCGATCTTAAAAGTTGTATCAGACATAACTTTTAAGATCGATTATTAAATGACCGATATTAAAAGTACTTTTAAAATCGGTTCTTAAATAACCGATTTTAAAAATATCGACAGAAACCTTTTATATTTCCCTCCATTCTCATTCTCTTTAATCTTTCCCTCCATTCATTTTTTTACTCTCTTGCGCTCTCATTTTCTAAAGTCTTCCACAAGGTAAAATTCGTTGTCATTTTTGTTTTCATATTCTCATACTCTTCTCGTGTCTCTTTTCGTCTTCTCATGTCTCTATTTTCTTTGTAGGTTCATTTTGGATAAATTTTAAAACTGGAACAGCCCGTTCTACAAGAAGAACGGCCTGTTCTACAAGGAGAACGGCCCGTTCTGCAATCAAAATAGTCCATTCTAGGTGGGTTTTAACTCATGCCAACTGTGCTAGAACGATCCATTCCAAACTATAACTTTAGGCCTTTTTAACAACCTGGAACGTCCTGTTCCAGTTTTGGAACGACCCGTTCCAGTTTAATTTTTTTAAACCCAAGACTTTTAAGATCGGTTATTTTATAACCGATCTTAAAAATTAATTTTTAAAATCAGTTATTTAACCGATTTTACAAGTCTAACTTTTAAAATCGACTCTTTTAAAATCGACTCTTTTAAAATCGGTTAAATAATCAATTTTAAAAGTTAAAAATAACCGATTTTAAAAGCATTTTTTCCACTAGTGAAAAGGGATTTATTTACTTCAAGAGTAAGTTTACGTAGACTTACTTCACTCAATAACTCATGTTTTACATTAAATTTTAATAATCTAATCATTAAAGTAAAAATTCTTGATACATAGATCAAGTCTGCAAATTTAAAAAAAAATGAAAACTATTTTGATATTTTATTTCATTAATTCAAATTGATAGATAATCATAAAAATATTTTATATTTGATTTAAAATAATAAAATAAAGTATCAAATAGTTTTATTTTTTTAATTTGCAGACTTGATCTATGTAGAACCTTTAATTTAATGGTTATATATATAATTGAAATTTGATGTAAAACATGAGTTAATGGATGAAATAAATTTAAGTAAACTTATTTTTAGAGTAAGTAAATTCTTCCTATATAAAATAGAATAAGACTAGATCCCTCCTCTATGTGCATGTGCATGTGGGTACGTGCGCATACGAGAGTGTGGGTATGTTTATACGTGTGCGTGTACATGGGTAAGTGGATGCATGCGTTAGTGCATGCATGAGCGTGGGTGTGGCAATAAAAAATAATTAGCTCAATATAAATAATTATATATATATATATATATATATATATATAAGATTTACTTCATTTAGTAATTTATGTTCTATATTAAATTTTAATAATCTAACTGTTAAAGTTTGTAATACATAGGTTAAGTTTGTAAATTTTTAAAAAGTTTGAAAACTATTTGATATTTTTTTTATTAATTCAAATCAGTGTGTAAAAAAACTTTTATAATTATTCGTCAATTCGAATTAAAGAAATAGAATATCAAATAATTTTAAAATTTTTCTAAACTCTACAGATTTGATCTTTGTATTATGAACTTTTAGTTTAATAGTTAGATTATTAAAATTTGATGTAGACTATGAGTTATTAAGTATAGTAAATTTAAGTAAATTCACTCTTAGAGTAACACAAACAATTATATATAATATTTTGACCTCATCACTAATAGTGCCCTGTAAACCCAACAATAATTAATAATCGAAAGGATTGATTATGGTAATAATCTTAAAAATGGTGATTTAAAGTTTAACTCAACTAACAAAATCGATTTTTAAGAAAATAATTAGTCTTTACTTTCTTTATATATATATATATTATTTTAATCTTCTCACTAGTCAATGTGAGATGTGGGACAATATATTCATACATTACATTGATGTAAATTGATTTGGTGGCGTGGAAGTTGAAAGTTGGTTTGACAAAGCTGTCAAGTGGAAAATAGGGGTGGGAGATAAGGTTAGATTCTAGCTCAACAACTGGGCCAGTCCTATTAGCTTTGCTGTCACATTTCCGAGGTTATTCACCAACTTTTTGCAGCAGCAAGACTCGATATCTGAAATGGATGGATGGGTAGATGGAAGATGGGAATGGCAGTTGAGGTGGAGAAGGAACAGATTCGAATGGGAGGTCTCACAGGAGCATCAGCTACTTCAAGCGATTGAGAATACCAACTTTCAAAGAGATCAAGTGGACTCATGGAGTTGGGAATGCGAACCTTCTGGCATGTTCTCAGTGAAATCAGCCTATACAACTATATATGATAGCTCATCGTTAGTGGGTGAAACTAATGTTCCCTACTTCTTTTGGTCTATCCCTGCTCCATCGAAGGTTCATTATTTCATGTGGAGATTGGTTAACTCTGGCATCCCAATCGTTGATAATCTAATTAGAAGAAACATAACACTTGAGCCTCAACAAACTTTATGCCCGTTTTTCAAGTCTGATGCAGAAACGGTGTCTCACATTTTCTGCACATGCCCTCTTAGTGATAAAGTTTGGAAGCAATGTCTCTCTTGGATTAATTGTCCTTCACCACTTCCTATGCAGGTCATTCAGCATTTGAGTTTTCTACCCGGAATGTTACACTCATAAGATGGGGTGGAAAAGTGGCACATATTGTGGATGGCCAAAACCTGAACCTTGTGGAGGCATAGAAACAAATGCATATTTCAAGGAGGAACCTTCAATCATGATGACATAATGAAGGATATTTTGATTTACAGCTGGAGGTGGTTGTCAACTCTCAAAAAATCATTTGACTAATTCACTTTCACCTAGTGGTGTTGCAATCCTAGTTTGTGTATTTGTTTATCAGGGTACTGATTGGGGTTTGCAATTTCAAGGAAGTGTACAACCTATTGCCATGAAGCATGAAGTGACAATACTAGAGCTGTCAAAATGAGTTCAACCCGATGAGCCAACCCGGCCCACCACGGGTTCGAGCCGGGTTGGGCCAAAAAAAATTGAAAATTTCAATACGGGAAATTTTGAACCTGGCTCACCCGGGTTGAATAACCCGTGGTGAGCTGGGCTGACCCACCAACCTGTTAAAAAAAACTTATGCTTCAGCTTTCAATTTATTGGGCCCATTTGCCCAAATGAGCATTAAGGTTTGAATTATATTTGAATTATTAGGCCCAAAATAGTATTTGAGATGATTTTGAATTATATTTGTCTACATGAGATTATTTAGATTTTATTTGATTGTATTTAGAATTATCATTTAATTATGATTTTGGGCTTTCGTTGTATATTAAAAAAATTACATTTTTTTAAAATTAGGTGAGCCAACTCGTTTAACGCATCAACCTGTGGTGGGCCAGGCCGGGTTCAATTTTTTGAACTCACTAATAAATGAGTCGGGTTGGGTTGGCCCACCAAATGCTCAACCCGTGGTGGGCCAGGCCGGGCCAAGTCGGGTTGCCCGTTTTGACAGCTCTAGACAATACTATCATGAAATCGTTATTGGTAATCTCATGTGGGGAGTATGCAGATGGTGGATTATACCAATTTAATAGTCATATAATTTTGTATATGAGTTCTAGTACCCTTGTACCAATATAATATATATTTTATTTGCTGTTAAAAAAAAATATTGATGTAAATTGATCTGTTTAATATAACGTATAATTTTGCGGTAAATAAGATTAATGTCTGTAATTAGTTCGACAAATTTGAGACTGATTTTGGTCATACATTTCCCATTTGATGATGTTCAATGCTTGAATAAAGGCTCCTATTTGATACATGATGTAAGCTTCTGATATGTTTTATCTCGTACATAATTCTACAGCTTCGCTTCAATGTTTAGCTAAGATTGAGAAAACTCTTACCAATCTTTCAGAACAAACCCAATTTTTTTCTTTCTTTTTTCTGCTCATCTTAACAAACTCTCTTCAAAATTAATTTGTTTCCGTCACAGGGGTTCTTTAATTTGCTATGAACCAGACAACCTATGATGGGGCATGCCCACCAAATGTCGCCTACATTGTAGACCTTTGTCATTTTGTAAGCAAACACATCTCTTTTCTCTCATTTGTAGCCTTTTGTTGGATTTTTTGCTCTCCTAATCCTAATTATCCTATTTATTTTCAACAAAAAAATTGTTAAATGGTTAAACTTCCTTTTAAGTAATTATCTTTGAAATAAATTAAAAAAATGTATCTTTGTTATTGATTTAATTTGAACATAATTTATTTTAAACACACACATATTTATAACCAATATTTTCTATTAAACTAGTTTATAGTCCAAGATACTAATATGCATCATTCTCATGTTTACCTTATAGTTATAATGCAAATTAATATTTGATATAGAAATAGGCAATTAGAGATAAACATGGCTTAAATTACTTACCTTTTGAATTTATATTTCCAAGTTAAGTATGGATCAAATAAATAAATAAACATATAGAGAAGGGAGAGGGAGAGAGATGTTTCAACACCATATTCTAGAATAATGGTCGGTCACGACAAGGCTACAAACCTAAATATATGGTACCCAAATTATGGGTGACTAGTGTAAGTCATTCGAATATGAGACAAGTTTTTTCCTTTATTAGTTTCGTTGCGGATTCATATGAGAGAAACAATTAATTAGACGATGATGAAAATTAATGGCATGACATGGAGCATTGAGTTGAGGCCACCACATAGTGGGGTCCCTACTAACATGACTTCTGAATAAATTGTTCCTAATTTAGGTCAAATGCCGTTGTATTTTCCTTTTCAAAGATGCAATCTAATCGGGATTCTGGTCATAGTTAGAGGAATGGCCCTTTCAGCACATAATTATCCATGCCAAGACCAATAAACATATAAGGGTGAAATGGCACATGGGGCATTCATACACGTGTGGCCTACCCGTTGCTTTTAACATGCCAGCATGTGAAGCTTTTTGTTACCATATACACCTTTCACACAAATGGATCATTCACTCTCTTCATATTTTTGATTTTTATATTTTCTCAACGCATATACGCACGCCTACATATAATACTTCACCTAAGGTCAAAACAAGGCAAAAATTAAATATCAATTTGTCTAAAGTCTAATTCTTATTTGATGTGTTCACTAAGATCACAAATGTACACTACAAGAATGTTTCAATTTAGAGTCGGCCAAAAGCCGACTCTAAATCATAAATGCCGACGCAATATTGTCGGTTATTCGTCGGTTTTTAGCCGACGCTAAATAAGTCGACACATTTTTTTTTGTGTCGGCTAAGCCGTCACTAACAAATTTATTTATTTTTATTTTTTATTTTCGGTTAAGCCGACACTATGTTGACAAAAATTTTATTTTATTTTTTTCTTTATTTTCTTTTTCTCGCTTATCATTTATTTGTTCGTATTTTTAACATTCCTGGGACTCGATCCGTGAACCTTGAGGTCTTAAGTGAACTTGATAACCAAGTGTACTAGAACACATTATGCGTATATAACAGTGAAAAAAGTATTTTTATCTCCTTGAAAGCACGTATATTATTTAAATATAGCGTCGGCTTTTTCGACAATAACTTAATTTAAATTTAAATTAAATTAGTGTCGGAAAAGTCGACGCTATATTTAAAGAATAGCGTCGGCTTTTCCGACGCTAAACTTAAAATAAATTTAAGTTAAATATTTTAAGTTTAGCGTCGGAAAAACCGACGCTATATTTATATAATAGCGTCGGCTTTTCCGACACTAAACTTAAAATATTTAATTTAAATTTATTTTAAGTTTAGTGTCGGAAAAGCCGACGCTAAATCTTAAAATAGCGTCAGCTTTTTCGACACTATTTGCGTCAGCTATTAACCGACGCTTATTTTCCGCCGCTTATTCAGCGTTTTCTTGTAGTGGTAGGAGATGATTCTTTTTTTATTTGAAATTAAATATATGTAAAAATATAAAGTTTTCTTGATCAATAATTCTTTTAAATTTCCAAACTAATTATTAAGGTTTGCACCATCATACACTTAAGAAATAAGGAAACATAAATTATCAAGTAATACTCGATATTAAATTATAGGATATTGATTTCCTACGGCCAGAGAGAGAATGAAGCTTGAATTCAGCATTTAATTATAATTTTTCAACCTTTACAATACAATTTTTTTTTTCCAACTATTGAATTATGACAGGAGAGTTAAACGTGCGAAACTTGACCATGGGCAATCCCATATATCATGTATTATCTTTGAAGAATTAGGATTACTTTCTTCATCGAACTAAGATAATATGCACATAATTCCTACGTACCACTAAAACTTTTAATTGTATCGTGATTACATCAGTCCCTCCAAATAAATGTTGTACAATACTATGTTCAAGGCATTGTCTGTTTAGTTAATTTGTAAAATTGATATTTTTTTTTTTATCATGATAGATTTTACATTAAAATATGTTGTTAAGATTAATTTAGATATATATTTTAATTAATTTGACTATTCAAAATTAATTCTATTAAAAATAATTTTGCTAATTTTAATACAAATCTAGCAAAACTTAATTATTGAGAATTAAAATTTGACTAATTACTGAGGAATATCATTTTAATGAGAATGCAAAAACTGAAGACATCGATATGCTGATGACTCTTGGTATGGTTGTGCTTGTTCCTAGACTATTTTCAAGAGCTTAAATTGATATCACAAGTAGATGTAGAAGAAACTTTGGAGCATGGCATGCCTATGCATTCTGGTTTAGTGTGATATGTTCAAATGTTCAATCATTTATGTTGTAATGATGTGAAGTGTGAGTGGTTTCATGCATGACTGTTATAGGTACATGATCTTATATATTATGCATGTGAGTTATCTTGATGCTCGATAGAGAATGAAATGTACATACATGACAAAAGATATAAAGTGTGCTTGTACATTAGGTGAGAATATAAGTTATTATTAAGAATGTCCTATGTCATTGTGAAGGAGTGAGAATATATTGTACCTCATAATGATGCTATATGAGTCTAGGTTTGGGGAAATAATAGGTGAAAAATTTGTTTTTAATTTTTGTCCAATGTGAAGAGGTAGTCTGATTATAGTAAGAGGGATAAAATTGTGCATGTTACGAATACCTTTAAGTATCAACAGTTTTATGATTGTTGGAATATATAACTAAAGTTTTACATCGTTTAAATAAAAAAGATATAAATTTATATATACACATATGTCTTCATTAGTTAGAAGTATTTTGGGTGATACCTAAAAGTATAACTATGTGACTTAGACCTATAGTGGATAAAATCATACCATTATGGAGACATGTGTGTTGGAAATCCCCTGGTGCATAATAAGAAAAGTAAAACCATGAGAGTTTAAGTTCAAAATGGACAATATCTTACCTATGTAGAAACATGTGTGTATGTATGTGAACCCCTTGACCTAACAAGTGGTATAAGAATTGATGGTGTGATTGGCTAGACGAATATGATGAAGTTGACAAGTGAATTTGGGTATATAAGATCCTTTAAGTCGAAAGTCTTCCTAATGGTAAATCCATATTTGGAAGATAATCTTCCTAATAACATGGATGGAGGGTTAGAAGGTATCTCCCACTATCATGAGTTAACGTTCATGGTGGAGTGGCAGCAGTACAAGTACTTAAAGTGTGATTGAGCTCTATGAGCTACCATCGAATATATATTAATAGCTTTCACTACAAAGTGGGGTTAAACCATGATCTTTTGTTTAAGGGGGGATTGTTGGGATACAACTAAAGTCCCACATCATTCAAACAAGAAGATGGACTTGAGTTTATATACACATATATCTCTCCATTGGTTAGAGGCCTTTAAGGTGATATCTAAAAGCCAAACCATGTGAATTTAGGTTCAAAGTAGACAATATCTTACCAATATAGAAACATGTGTGTGTGAATCCTCCCTCCCACACACAACATAATCATAATGGACA